AACAATAAACAAATATTTCTCTCTGACAGAAATGACTAAGCCCTTTCTGGGCTATGAATCTCATTCATTTCCTGGAAGAAGACTAAAAACCACAAAACTTGTGACTGGAAAAGCAAGGGAGACATCAAAACTGGCTGAGAAATTCCAGTTTTTCCTGGCTTCATGTTTTCACACACTGCTATTCATTTTTTCATTTTTCCATTAGTTATGAGATTGTTTATAAAGCTGTCTTCAGTGCACCTCACTGCTGCAAAAACACACACAAGTGGTTTTGTGAATAGACAGTGACTGTGATGCACAAAGTCAGGTACATAACCCATCAGAGGGTACGGCTGTGATGATATCTCCCCTTTCCATTTACTTCATATCTGGCACATCCCCTTTTTCTTTAATTAGTTCCCCTATTCATCAGACCTTCATCAACACCCACAGGCTGGCATCAAGGCTGCTTGAGAAGAGTCGGAAAGGGGGGAAGGTTAAACCCCATCTCAGGGGTGGACTGTAAGGAGTCTTGCAGCAGTTTTAGCATCAGGAAGGCTTCAGAAGCCTCCCATCCACTAGCCCCATTCAGTAAAGGCTGTGGATGGTGCTACCACCTACACTGTCAGGTGGAGTTTCACTTGACTTTACTGTTTTTCCTCTGTCCCATGCAGTTTCCAAAGCAGCAAACTCCTACAGGGCCAAAGATTTGTCTGTTTCTCTAACCTCCTGAACTGCCTGACCAAAAAAATACTACCTCTCCTCACAAATCTTACCATAACTAGAAATACTTATCTGCTGTTCTTAGTGTTTTCCTAATTCCATGAAAGGGAACACAGACTTTGCCATCATCTCCCTTTCCTTCTGTAGGAAAAAGAAACCGAAAATTCCTACTGAGGAAAAGATAGAGATAGTATTCAATTTAGATCAAAAATACAACCTGCATCAGCCAGGCTTGAACTGGTGCAGCTTAGCAGGAATGTGTTTAACACCAAGTGGAAATAGTACCAGGATTTACAAAGAAAAGGGCAGGGAGAGGGCAGCAAAGTCAAAATTCGACACAGAAAATGTTAAGAGTGCTCCCTAAAGGCAGACTATAAAGCAGCAAGGTTGGGTACTTCAGTTCATGCCACAAGACCTAACCCTAGTAAAGAATTATGAAGCATTTATGAAATAAAGTGGAAATTCTCCTTCTTCATGAAAGGGAATTAAACAAGTATGGATACTTCCCTATAATCCACACCTAATTTTCCTAATTCAGGTCATAATTTTATTGCTTCTACTGATAGCTTTAAACCTAAAAGAGCACTCTTTCTCTTGAAAATAACTAAATAGTGGCAAAGCCAGCAGCCAACCTTCTTGTTTGATTACCAGCATAGTTAAATCACCCAGACAACCTGCACTCACACTCCCAGCAATGCCCCTAAAACAACCAGAAACAGAAATGCCCTCAGCCTCCTGTGCGCAAGGCAGACGGCTCTGGAGCTCCTGCTTCCTCTCTGACAGCCAAGGAAAGTAATAAGTGTGTCAAGGACAAAAAAGTTGCAGGGCAGATGCAAAACCTATCTCTGATGGTCCTTGGGGGCTGACACTCCTAAAACACTGCCCTAACTTGATGGTACTATGGGAGGAAAGGTTACTTGGAAGCATTTTTCTTTTCCACATTAAACCACTCCATCTTTCTTCTTTTTCTTAGTAACCCAAAAAAATGTTGGCAGAAAATGATTCTTTTTTTAAAGCAGCTCTAACAAGTTATTTGCTTATTATTCAATACTGATCGGATACAATTTAATACATAAATCAGATAATACAATTTTCAAAAGGAAAATATCCTTTATAAGGTGCAATCAAAAAGAAAATTAGCTTCTCCCTCTCCCTCCTCACTAACCCTCCTTCCCCTTTCTTCAAACCCACCAGCAAATAAATGTGTGAGCATAGCACCTCGGTTAGGTCCCCAGCTTCCTCTAGCTGCAAACTGCCTGTGGGCCAGGTGATCTCAAAATCCAACCAGTTTGTGTAAGTAAGCAGCGTCTGACATGGTTGTCACACAGGCCCTTCACTACAAGTGAAGATTACTGAAAGGTTCATGCTTTCCTGTTTCTTTTGTTGAGCTTTTAAACAATGTGGCTAACAAGTCCTGACCTGTGCAACTGCACTAAATTCCTGAATTATTTGCAAGGCTCCCTAGACAATCCAGGCTCTCTTTATCCAATCCTTTTTATACTTTATAAAGGAAACACAAACACTTCTGAATATGAAAACTCCTATGAAAGAATTATTCTTCTATCTTTCCATCAACCCATACGTCTCTAAATCCTCATAAAAATGAATGAGGTCCAAAACACCAGATGGTGCAATAATTTTCTCCAGCCATGTGTCACACACAAGCACATTTTTTCCAGTACAAATAGCCCAGGAGCTCTGAAAACTGACAGAATCTCACAAATATGAGGTCCTAACTAGTGAAGGATGATAGCACCCACATCTTTCACAACACCAATACAAAAAAGCCACACATCATGACACCATCAGACCTTTGGGGCAAAGAGTTGCAGGTACAGCAGCCAGGGAAAGAAAGTCTCACCCTCTTTCTAAATCCTTATAAAGTCTCTCTTTCCCACCCATTTTGATCTTTCGGAACATGGGGAAGAAATGGAGTGCTGGGACAACTCCTGATCACCTCATGGTAGAAGATGATTAATCAACTCCTCAACTGTGCTGAGATCTGAAGCCCTCCTGCCCTGATCCCCCCACTTGTCCTTCCCTCTCCCTCACCTGCATGCACAGGGCTCCCTCAACTATGCTTGGCTTCTTGGCTTTGGGGACAAAAACACAGTGATGGGGACAGCATGAGGAAGCAACAAGAGTCAGTGCTTCTCAAAATCAGGTGAAAGAATATGGCTGTAGAAAGAAGAATCAAATAAATAAAGCTGTATGAAAGAAGAATCAAAACTATATTTTCAGAAAGGAGAGAGAAGGATACAGGAGCCAAAAAAATTACACAAACTGCTTAGAGGGTACCAAAATATATGTCAGGCCCAGCCCAAGCTGGACCCCAGAGAGACAAAGGAAATGCCTGACTTCCTTTAGGCTGAAGGCCAAGTTGTACAGAAAGTTTTCAGCAGCTCCACACTCAACAAGGGTGGCCAGTAAGCACTGCTGAGGCAGGACTGCACTGCACTGAGAGCTCCTTGCTGTGGCTACGAGCCCCCCCGGTTTTGTTTTATTCAGAAACAAGGAAAGAGCACAGCTTCATTTAAGAGCAATAACTGGGGCACAAAGGGAGATGTCACCTCTTCAGTGCAACAGTGCCCATGAGGCAGTCTCTAATGAGGCATGCTTGTATAACATTTCAAACCTTCACAGAGACTTTGTACAGTAACTGCAGCACACACCCCTGCTTTTTCGCTGTATTCAAATTTTGTTTATGTATAATATTTAAATCTGAAAAGTGAACAAAGACTGGAAAAGACATAGAAACATAAAAAATACCAGTCCTATAAAAGTATCATGAGGGCAACATACTCTTTTCCACACAAATGTTGCAGCACATATGAAAATTAACAATTAGCATGACTAAAACTTAAGAATTTTCCTGTTTGCATAGCAGTCTGGTACCAGCTGAGCTGATCTCCAAATCTCTGAGCCCACAATACACCCAGCATAAACTCCCCCATGTTTCAAGCAAGTAGGTACCCAGCTAGATGATTTGCCCAATCATCTCTCAGTACCATTGTTATCCTGCCGATGCTTCTGCATTGGGCTTCAACTGGTTTTGATGAAGCCAAGTCTGTGAACAAAATTATAGTTGATTTCTTCAGACTTTGAATCAAGGTCTTCATTGCTAAGATCCAACAGCCATTCCAGCAGCTGAATAACATGAACAAATATTTACTACACATCAAAATGAAACAAGTAACAGCCTTTTCTTTTTTTCTCTCCTGTCTAGCCAATATTTGAATGAGACATGGTATTTGTTTTTACATCTCTTGAAAGAGCTGTTTACAACAGACAGACAAAACCCATCCTTCTCCTGAAGAAGGCAGTAGCAGATTTCAAGCTGTCATTAAGAATTAGAAAGATTTAAGAAGGGAAAAAAGCCCTCACCCAAAGAAACGGGCTAAGTGCTGTGCTTTTACTTCCCAGAAGCTTGCATGAATCTCTCTTTCAGTTTGGCTCACATGGAAACTGCCTGTCCTCCAGCTTTTAGCAATTTAAAGTGCTAAAAGAAAAACAGCCAAAAGTACCAAATTTTCAATGAAAAACATACAAAGCCATCAAGTTTAAGAGTTTCCAACCTCAGCTATAAATCAGGTGGGTCTGCAAAAAAAATTATACTATTCAGCAAAACTTAACTACAGTTTTCTGTTTGCAGTCAAACCTGAAACCAGGAAAATTTCACTTGATCTTGTTACAGAATTTTCAACAGCATGGCCTAATGTAAAGTTTCATGTATATTTCTATCCCACTTCCTCTACAATAAAATAAAAGCCACGAAGCTTGCTTAATGATACTCTCCCCAAAGAATGGTTATAGTCTTAAAGCATAAACAGACTGACAGAACTGTGCTAAAAACTGTATTAACTCTGTACATCACTGCCTACAGTAACACATTCTTCTGTTTTATGACCATCTCCTTTTTGTCTTGTGTAATTAAAATATCTCACTTGGTTGGAAACATGGTGGCAATATCTCACCTCTACAATCCTTGCTTTTTTAAAACAGCTCTTTATTCTTGAAAAGGCAGGGTCTATTTATAAATAAAAGAACTGCATTTACACTGAGTCAAGGCACAAAAAGCTTCTGGAGAGACTAAGTTACAATAACCATTATTATCCTTTTTAAACCTCTGGGCACAAACCAAATTGCTCACTGCCCCTCTCAGATTTGAGCAATTTTTCATCTTAACCACAAAATAAAATACTAGAGTTGAGAACCTGGGATAAAATGATGAGACACCCTGCTCTGAACTGTGAGCAAAACCACTGTTAAAAGTTTTCCAACTGAAAATCAAACTTTACCACCTTCTGAGCAGCTTCCAAGGATGTTCCAAGTCGATGGCAACTCTTCATAAGCAACAGCCATCATCAAATCGTTATCAAGGGACTGCAGATCTTTTGTCCTTAGCCCAAATTTATCCAGCAACAGCTCATGACTAGTAACACATTCTGCATGATCAACCAGAAAGTGAGACAATTTGCAAGACAGATTCTCCCTGTAATTGACGGGACAGCTGCCAAGGACCACAGGTGAGTATCCCCTTGTGTACATTAACACAGAGACAGCAACTGCTTCTTGGCATCCATGACCTGTAATTATAATGCAGATTATTCACTAACAATTCCTATGTTCAGAAAATACATTAGTTTTTCCTCATTCCCCCCTGCCTCTAAGAGCTGTGACTATTTATTCAGCATTATTTCATTCTTTCCTCTAATCACATCTATTTGTTGTAGGGCATCCACCAACCATTTCTGGTGATGAACTTGGACTTGACTAGACTGTGAATTGCCAGTCCTCCCAGTTATACTGACATACTTAAATCAAGAACAGTCTTTCTAGGTGAAGGCTCTTTAACAACAATGGAAAGAAGAGATAACTGTATCAATATGAAATCCCACAAATCAAAAACTTGAAGGTTCTTGGATAAGAACTACGAAAAATGAGATACTCATTACAAGAGTGGCACAATGGCCTGCAGCACAAACTCTGAATAATGTATCTATTTAACACCCATTTCGTACCTACTTGGTGTCTCCATGTAGGCCAAAACCTAGAAGCTTTTAACTAATGCATGATTCATGCTTCCAGCAGACTTGACTAAGTGCTGTATCAACTCTCAAACTTATAGTTGGGACCCTCAAAGTCCAAGGTAGTTTGTCTCTCAAACCTCTTAAGCACCTTGTGCTTTCCTCCTCCTACTTTTCGATCTAAGTGAGGGTGGTTATCATATATCTAAGAAATGCAAGCTGTAACTCTCACAGGATTGCTAATCATGACATACTATGGGTGCAAATCTAAATTCCCAAAAATATCCCTGAACAACTACAAGTATATATGCAATCTAGCAACTGCAGAAGGAAGCATGTACTTACCACATCTGCAGTTGTTTTTAAAGTGCTCTACATTCCCTTATGTTTAATTTGGCCACTATGAAACAACACTAAGATCAGCAGGACTATATTTTAACCTCACACTTGATTTTCATCTGTTAATGGCGTCTGCTGGGTACAGGCAGAGGATTAAGTGTTACTTGCAGCCTCCTGTTTTTATTCATAGCTCAGAAGCAATCATTTAACAGTGTCTTTTCAGGCCTCTTAAAAAAAAAATAAATAAAAAACCCACAAAACTTTGCTGTCCTGGAATAAGCCTAGCATTGCATTTTCTCCAGTTGTAATCCGACAATCATTTATCATTCACAGGATCAAAGGAGCCACTATGTAACAGCAGCAAACTCCCTTTTTATACTCAGTAGTTATTTTCAGACTCTAAATCCCATTTAGAAAACAAGAAAAAAATAACAAGCAGATCCTATTGCACAGGTACACCATGTCTATAGCCACCTACTCACAAATGGAAAGGTCACAAAGCACACAATAAAGACGACAACCGGGGTTACATCCATAAGGGGGAAAACGCCAAGGCAGAGAGCCAGCTGAGAGGCAAAATAAATCCCCCTGTTTGCAGCAAGGCACCACTGGAACAGTTTCACTGACACCTCTGTACTGAGTATAGCTCCAGCAGAGCTCCAAGCACCTCATGCCTCCACCACGAGGGCCTTGGAAGCTGGGCTGGTTGCTGCACCAAGGGAAGGCTCAGACAAAAACATTGTTTTTGAGGCATTAGGATGCCTGGAGGCGAACAGTTGTGGAACAGAATTCATTCACATTGAAAATTATGCTATCCTTTAAGACTGCACTTTAATGCATACCCAACTGTGCAAGCCCAGTAACACTGTCTACACCTGATACTGCACTGGTATCATGGTTCATTTCTATGAAAGGCAGGAACACCTATAGTCAGCCAAACTCAGCCTGGATCCTTAAAGACCATCATTCAATTCCTGCATTTCCTCCATTACAGAGCCATAAACCAGAGTTGTACCAAATCATCCAGTTGTGCCCAGCTTTGACATGGATGTAGGGCACAGCAAAGAGAGCAAAAATGTGAACAGTAGTTAACACTCACCTGGAACAATAGACCGAAGAGCACTGTCACTAACTCGCTCTGCAAACATTACATGTCTCTTCAGGGATCCATCGTAAACAAAGTAAAACTCAGCATCCTTTGGGAGGTAAATATCTTTGTCAAATTTTGCATGTATAGTCACCTGTCCCTGGAAAATGAAAGGGCTTTCAGAAGCATGCAGTGAATTTCTCATCTCCAATGTATTTCAGACGCAAATTTATTACAACCTTTTCAACAATACTATACAGAGGCTGTGATCCAAACCACAAATCTGCAGTTTTCTACTTCCACTTAGAAAATAACACTAGTTTTATGCTGACAAGCAAAGATGATTTTAAAAAATGCCTTTTAAATAATGCCTTTCAACTAATTCCTTTCATCCTGATCCAAATATAACTTTTCATTTGAAATGCATTGGAAAAAGTGAGTCAGTGAACCCAAGTATTTTGTTATTCAAAAACCACACTGTGGTTTAAAAAAAAAAAAAAAAATCAGAAGTGCTTGAAGTTATCTTAGAATCAATTTTACAAAACATAAGCACTGATAATTCTACAACTGACTATGCTGGTTTCAAAGAATACTAATTCCCAGATATCTGCCTGTGGGTTTCTTTATAGTAAATAGAAAGCAACCAGCCAAGAAAAATCTGTCATACAATAGCTTCACAAAGGAACAGGAAAGCAATCTGAGAAGCAGCAAACAATAACAAATGTCTGACATGTCTGAGGGAGGAAATTTAGATGGAAGTTGCATTTTCTTGGAGGACAGTGTGCTCCACTGTGCCTCAACAGCTGCCACGGTTGTTCTAAGACAGAACTGCTCCAACATCTGGCAGAAATGGTGTTTTCTGGAAAACACACTACAGAAGAGTAATACCTCAGACATTCACACCTCCAAACGACGCCTGCCTTGCCTCTATTCCAAACAGTTAGTACAGCACTGGCTCCACCAGCTCCATAAACAAGTCTGGTAAAAACCAAAGCACAGTTCAGCAGCGTAGAAATTTCAGTGGTTTGAAAACTGCAGTTATACCCCTGACAGTCCTGTCAAGCACCCAGCAGCTCCTTCCCTGTTTATTATACAGCAAACATACATTTTACTGCAGTGAGAGTCTTGCTCCCCCCCGGCATTACATCTTCACCTTCCTTCCCCAAGGACATCTTTCTGGTCACTTGTAACAATGTGAACCCTGCATTTGTTTTCCTCTTAAATACAGGCAAGTCTTTTTAAGTATGTGTAAAGAGGCAAAGGCTAGTTTCAGGCACAAAATCTTCCTTAGATAGGATTGTTTCTTTAAGGATAGATGTAAACAATATTAGGAGTCCAGTATCAAAAGCAAACATGCCTGACATCCCCAGAAACTGATAATGCACCTTTTCTAAGTAGCCTAAAGTTTTGTTATAACTGCCAAGTGTTTTCTCCTATTTCTCTTTGGGTTTTGCACTGTTCTGTCCAGAATATTTAAGTTTTTTAATCCTTCTATGTTAGCTGTGAATAGCCCTTTCTGTCTGGATGGCTATTTGGGGGAAGTAAGAACAGGGTAAGACCCTGACGACATTGCAGAGTCTGCTCTGGTGCGTGCCTAACAGCAGCATGGAACACAGGAGTCCAGCAGGATTTCTCCCACACAGGCACTTGTGGCCACAGCTCCCAAACCACCTCCATACCCTCTGGACCCCGAAGCTGAAGGACTATACAGCCCAACAGCTTTTGCGTTTTCTTTGCACTATGTGAAACAAGGGAGAAATTTTGTAGTAGTATTTCTGATTTCTTAAGCCTAACTCTAGGGGGGGAGGTGAGGGAAATCAAGCTCAAATTGTATACTGCTCCTTTTCTTAAAATGTTAACTTAGAATCAGTGAGGACAGAGGAACATCTTGAACTGGTTGGACTGCATAATGTACAGGCATGAGGGAGAATTTCGTAACTCCTTGTCTTATAATGGATTAAGGAAAAAAGAGTGGAAAGCTCATGTGCCTAGAATAAAAGTTTTTCATAATCCACTCCTTTCAACCCTCCAGAAGAAGAAATTGCTGCTAACTTAACCAAAGATTTTACAGAAGGAAGGCAAATCAGCAGCTACCTTGTATGTGGCCAAGCAATTAAGTGATTCATTTTGAGAATCCCATGTGATCCAAAAAGAGGGTGAAACCCTGTATTACTAGAGAGGATTCAAAGATAACAGAGAAAGTAACTTTCACACAGGGGACTACGCTACACCTTTTTTGATGCTGCGTGGTTACCACACCTGGCATCAGAAACAGTTACTTCTCAAAGGACAAGCTCCTGTCATCATCTCCATCCTCTCTTCAGACGTTCGCATTTCATGTTGCTCAGTTCCATCAACTTCATCCTTGCTGCCACTACTTAAACATGCATCAGTTTGCTGTTCAGGCCACCACAAATGCCTTCTGCTCTGGTTTCAAAGGATCTTTTTTCTTCTCACCTACTCCTCCTCAACTGCACCCCTGGTGCAGTTATGTCATCTTCCTTTCTCACCTCCTGAAAATCTTTCACAATTGCATCCTACTGCCGCTGGAGTTCACCCCTTAACTCATCCCTTCCCATCCCTCCAATACTTTGCACAACACTTGTCCTGTACAGCCGTGTCCCAAGCCAGCCACCCTGCTGCCTGCCTTCTCACAGGACAACTTCTACCGCACATCAGTTCTTCTGTCTCCCTTCACCCTCTCCTTTGAGCTACAGCCTTCACCCTGGCTTCAGATCTACATGTGACAGAGCCTAGCTTAGCCTGTACTTAAGTGTCTTTTCCTTCAGAACTGTTTTCCTTTGGTGCTGAATTACATCTATTTAATGCCAGGTCTGAAAGTAAAGTGATACCTCCAACAAAAGCATTCAGGATCCATATGCTGCTGAAGAAATGCAGTCGTAAGACAGAAAGAAGAACCTCATACTATGTTTGATCAACCCTTCCCTACATTTGCAAAATCTTTTTTTAGATTTCTATAAAGTTATTGTACAGTTAATATAATTATTAGATAAGCTGCATACGTACCATACATATAACCTACATCCTTACATATACATACAAACTAATTAAAACAAAGATCCTGTAAAGCAGCTAGACAGTATCACAAACAGATGTGACTCTGATGGGGATAGCTGCACTCACAATCCATTTGCTGCCAAAATACATTTGTTTGGCAGATCAGTCTTTCCCACTGTTACTATCACTTGTACTTCCCTCCAAACACTGCTGGCAGAGGCTCATCCACTACATACGTGAAAACAAAAATACCACTGAACTCTGAGGATGCTTTAATTGCTGCCACAAAAGGTGTCTGTGTATGTCTATGCACACATCAAAGGTGCTTTCCTATTCTTTTTGACAGCTGTGAAGCAAGCTGCCCTGAGACAGCACTGTAATTAGCACTCTGTTCATTTCCTCTGTGTAGAGCCAACTTTGTTACCAAAACTATTTAACTATTTAATTTATTTTTTTTTTCCTTCAAACAAAGATCATCTGCAGTCCATTCTAGAAAACTCGTAGGTAGAAAAATACTTGGAGACAGTCATGCATGCTGTGACCCTCCTCCAGACTCTGCAGCTGGAAAAGGCAGAAGGATTCATCCTGCTTCTGAGCCAGACCAAAATGCAGCCTTTCAGGGTGGAGAAGGAGGAAGAGGAAATGAGGAAAAAGTCTGCCAGTTTATTTAGTTCTCTGCACTCTGTTTTTGGATGTATGACCCCACCTTTAGCTGCATTTAGATGCAGATCACTCAAGGGCATTGACTTACTGTGCTAAGCAGCTCTGCACACAGACAATATGCTGTTTTATTGAGAGCTGCGAATCTTACTCGTAATGACTGTACATGTCCTCCACAATTTTGTTTAACTCATTGAAGAGCTTTGGGCCAGAAACTTCTCCCAAGAATGATACACCCAGCACTTATCACATGAAGGTCTGGGGAAGAGACTGATGCAGAGGACTTTAGTACAAGCAAAAAAAAAAAAAAGGAAAAAGAAACAAACCAAAACGCACCACTTACGGTGTCCTAGGCAATATAAGAACAGCCTGGAAAGAATAATATATAAAGTGCTGAAAAATATATATATTGTAAATAAAACATAATTTCAGTGCCACAACTATTTTGGTCAAACAGTGGAACAGAGAGGTGGTCGATGCCCCAAGCCTATTAGTGTTTAACAGTCATTTCGACAATACCCTTAATAACATGCTTTAACTTTTGGTCAGCCCTGAACTGGTCATGCAGTTGGGCTAGATGATCATTTTAAGCCTCTTCCAACTGAAATAGTCTAGTGTATTCTGCTTTGGATTATTACGTTTTGTAGCAATCAGTAAAGCTCAGTGTTAGAAAACTGAAACAGAGCTTCAGAAACATGTACGAACTTGATCTCTCTCCTCTTCTTTGTGCATACATAACTGGTTCACCTAGGCAGAAACCCAGAAGCCATACATTAGCCCTGTGAGAAAAGGGCTTATTTTACTAGCTTAAATCTGAGGGACCATTTATATGTTTCCATTATATCCGTTCCCTGAAGAGGCATTTATTTCCTGGCTCCCGCAGGCAAGGCCAGCCCAGCCCAGGGAGCAGGTTGAAGCAGGAACTACCTGGACAGATCTTTCCCCTGCAGATAAATGAACTCAGAGAGCAACAAAAGTGGGAGCGAGTCCAGCTCCATCCTCCTCCTCCTTTCCTAGCAAGGCACACAGGAAGGAGATAAGAGGGCTGGATCTTGCAATGACACTCTGTAATGTATCCCTCCACCAAAGCAATTCCTCTCTGCTTCATGGGGCTTTCCCAGAGCTTTTGGGGAGCTGCTACCTCTCTGTAACAAAACTTTTTGGCAGAGCCTGAGTGCTCTCAATCAAAACATACATCCACTAGACTATTACAACAATTAAATACTGCTTGTAAACAGGGAAACATATTTGCCGGAGTTCCATGAGAAATTCATGCTCACAGAAAGTATTTGTTCAGTATCACTCTCACTGTATCTGGTAAAAGCACTTCTCCAGTGATTGCTGCCCCATTCTGCAAGGCCCAACCAAAACACCTTCTGAAGTCTGCTGAAGAACTGTGACAGGGACCTATCACTAAAGCATGAAGAGATTAAAATTACGGTTATCAGCATTTAAAAGTACGCAATTAACCACTCATTCATG